GAATTCAGGATGGATCCAGGGGAGTTCGGCAAGAATATATTTTTATTTTGAAAAACCGCAATTATACCACTGACAGAATCCTATTAGTTCTGTGCATTCTTCCTTTAGAATAGAAGAACCTCTGTTTTTACGTGTTAGATAATCTGAGATCTAGTTTTAAGTTCTTCTGTATGTTGCGAGGTTAACCTATACGTTTGGGCTTAGATTGACTTAAAAGAAAAAAATATGTATCTTATAAATAAAGCTGTGATAAGACAACAGCTATCCATATTTAGAAAGACATGTTTGTCTGATAATGGTAAATAAAAACAGTTTTGCTCTTTTATTGATTTGATTAGAGGTTTTCTTATTGAGAGTTTAGCCAGAAACCACACAACCCCACACATCCGAGAATCCAAACCCAGCTGAAACAAGCAGCCTTTTGCAAATACTGGAGTTTGGGGCTAATTAGTTCTGATAAAACCTGTGGATTGGAAACACACCGCCTGTCTGCCAAACTGTCTCAGCTCCATTTGAAGCTGCTGAATCCAATAAGAAGTGTGAATGACTTTAATTAGTGCTATCACAATGCTGTATTTGCCCATGTTAGCTTATTCTCTTAGAGCTGAGCTCTGAAACTGTTTGCAAACACACACACTATCCTGTCTATTAGGCCTGTGGTGTGTTGCAGTAATCGCTGGCCCAGCATGATCTTACTGAAACATTGGCACCAGCATTAAGACAAACAGCCCCCTCCCTTTCAAACAAGACGACCCCCTGCTGTGCGCTAACAAGACTATAGCAACCACCCTTACCCCACACACACATTTTCCCCGTAGTAGTTCTCCTGCATGCAAGAAGACACATGCAAATGTGCATGTACAAACATTTTCATGTAGGCCACAGAAACATATTTACATTGTAAGATATAAGGGCAGGAGATTTTTCATTGCACTGGATTGTGTCTAAATGACAGACAGCATCAAAAAGGAGTGTTTCCTTGTGGCCTTCACTACCATTTGTTTACAGATGATTAGTGAAATTAATTTTTATCAAGCTTATCTTCAATGTGAACCAGGAGGTTTGCATGCAAAACTGAGTTTATACTGGTTTCCAATTAAAAACCAGACACACTTTGTCCATGTGGCTTTAAACAGCGAATGAGCAAAACTGTTTTCTCTTTAGATTTAGACAAGTTAAAATTTGAATGGATCAGGCTCTGATGATTGGGAATATGCTGTATCATCAGCAGCAATGACAGCTCTTTTTTTCCCTACTTGTATAGGTTGGGACTGGAAGATGTTTGATCCACTGATTAACTTGAAAGATTGTCAATGAAAACCAGCTAAAGTACAGAGCAGGTTTCACTGGAGGAATTATTATTATTATTATATTTATTTATAATTATATTTTTGTTTAATTCATTAATTTGACAACATTAATGAACTGAGAAATCCTGTGAAATTAGTCAAAAAGCTAATTTTCAGAAACTGCCCAGATATTAAAGTTGCATTCTTAAATTCTAACTTAAGAGCTGTGACAGAACAAAGTGATCTGGTGTTGTGTAGGTACAAGATGTAATATTTCCATCCTCTGCAGATGAATCCTGTGAGTCTGCTGAGAATCTGATTT